GTTCATCCTTTTTCAATAATTTTAACAAAGGTCCAGCCTTTGTAGAAAATCCTTCTATAAAACGTCTATAATAAGATGCTAAGCCTAAAAAGGCTCGGAGTTGAGTAATAGTTTTAGGAGGGGGGAGATTGTTTAATTTATCAACTTTTTGAGGGTCTGGTTTGATTCCATCAATACCAACTATATGTCCAAGAAATTGCATTTCATTTGTACAAAAGTGATATTTTTCTGGGTTGATTCGAAGGTTGGCTTGTCTAATTAATTCAAACACCTCTTGTACATCTAGTATATGTTGTTCAAATGATATAGAGTATATATTAATATCATCAATATATACTATAGCCTTTTTCCATAGAACAGGCCTTAACACTACATCCATAAGCCTTTGAAATGTAGATGGTGCATTACACAATCCAAAAGGCATGACATTAAATTCATAAAGACTATATTTAGTAATGAATGCAGTCTTTTCCTTGTCCTCTTTTTTGACTTCTACTTGCCAATATCCAGAAGTCAAGTCTAAAGACATGAACCATTGAGCATTACCAAGATTATCCAACATGTCATCAATCCTTGGTAGAGGGTAGGTGTCCTTCTTTGTCACATTATTTAGTTTTCTAAAATCTACACAAAATCTAAACTTGCCATTTTTCTTTTTGACCAAAATGACAGGAGAGCTCCAAGGGCTTTTAGATTTTCTAATGATACTATCTTTTTCCATTTTGGCAATTTCTTTTTCAATATGTTTTTGTTCGACTGGTGAGACTCTATATACTCTTTGTTTAATTAGATAAGATTCACCAGTATTGATAGTGTGGTATATAACATTAGTTTTCTTTAGTTCTGCAAATTCAGTTGCAAAAATGTCAGCATTGTCATGTAATAGTTGGGTTATAATTTGTTTTTGATTATTGTCCAAGATATATCCAATAAAGGTTGATTTGTTTTCACTAATTGGTATAGATACCTTTTGATCCTCTTTCCTTTTATCTTTAATTTCAATAATTTCTGGCTATACTAACTTAAAAATATCTGGTGGAGGAGGATTTAAAGGATTATCA